TTTTTTATTTCACGGAACGGAACTTATTCGACCAACCCCTAACTTTCCATAGAGAAAACAGCTCCACTTAGTAACGAAGTGTGCTTCAAACTTCCATGTTATTTTCTTCAATGTAAACGTGACTGAGCACAAATTGGAACAGCAGACGACGTCATGAATACAGTGAGACCCCTACATGCAGACACCTTGTGACCTTGACATGCGGACAATTTGACATATGGACACTTATTTTCCCATGAAAATTAATAAAAAAGACCCAACATGAGGACACTGACTCAACATTGAGAAATTTTGTGACAAAATTGCAAATACGTTTCAGGTCAAATTACAAGAAACAGATATTTCCAACCCTAAAATTGATGTAAGAGAAGTCTTGGGAATTTCTCTCACCAATTTACCATCCATTCAGCAAATTAAAAAAAATTACCTCCAACATAGAGGGACTTCCTTCTCTTTTTCACTAATGATTATTTTTAAAGAGAATGCCAATATTTCTATGTATTGTACAGAGGTATCAGTATTCAATTCCCCAAATGTCCATATCATGTTGAAATATATTGATTGAATCAATTTCAATTGGGAGAAAATTTTTATTTTCATGGAATTATGGTGAGTATTTTGTCCATAAAACACCAATTAAAAATTATATAATGTAAGTCAAAGGGAAAATGAGACTCAACTAAGGGGCATTTTGACTTAAGGACACTGTTGATGCAGCAATTATGTCCGCATCTCAGGGTCTCACTCTTATACATAACTTCAAAAAAAAACTGTCGCTAATCTCCGAAAATAATTGGAAGTGAGACAGATTAAGGCTGACAAACCAAAAATAAACCCTCCCCTTACGTCAGTAAACGGCTTTTGAACTATACTTTGAAGCATGCGCTGATCCTTGATGAACTTATCCACCTGCTGAGGTTCTTCGAGTTCTTTTTTTTTCGAAAAAAGGAAACAAGAAGAAAACCCGCCAACACGTCCAATCCAAATTTCTAAACCACGACGTTTCTGTCCCAATAAAAACAAGCAACAGAAATAAAAAATGAATAACCCACTTGATTGAACCGTTCGATGAAATTCATAACGTTCGGGGCCTTCGCATGCTTGTACTTTTGATCTGCCCATCCACACGAGTACAGTTCATCTCCGGTAATCTCTCGATACAAGCTGAAATCCATCAGAGTGAGTTGTTCAGCGATCACATCCGGCGGGATATCCAGAACATCCATCCTTTGCAGAGTTCTGCTGGATTCGGATCTGGTCAATGCTTTGCTACTATTAGCAGCAGCAGCAAACGCTTTCCCGAAATCAGCCGCGGTTTTCGAGTTGGGCGAACTGATGGTGATCGGGATTTTCTCATAGGTCACTTCTCGGCTCGAAGTCGAATCATCGGACGACGAAGATTCGGAAGTTGAAGAGCGTTCGGAAGACGAGTCCGAAGAATTGGTCAACTGGAACAAGCCTCTGACGGCAGACATATTACGTGACATGGAATGACCCGATCTGCCGGTTCTCACGTGATCGGGATCATTCTCAGGCGGATCCTCCGTGACCAACGCCATTTCTGAAGAGCACGAAACGTCGCCCGATGAGTCATTCGACAGAATCGTGCTTCCCTGCTGCAGAGTATGAAACAAAAAATGAAGAAATACTGTCGAGTAATTTTAAAACAAGTTTCTGCTGTACGTAACCGCATTCACTGAAAAACAAATGCGACAAGACAATTCTGGGCTGCTCGAAAGTAGACAATCGGAAAATTTCGACATTCTAACGCGAAAAAGAATTAATTTCCCGTCGATTTAAATCTTATCATAAATTTACTCATAATTTGTTGTCAATAACGGGCTAATATTGTGCTTCTCTATTTGGGAGATAGGGGGGACTGCTGATTTATCATAAATATAACTATATGTAGACTAAAGCAGTATGTGTGTATTTTTATTTTTGACTACCTTGCATGACCAGAATAGCAGATTCTATACAATTATCTTCTGGACAGTTATTTTTTGCATCTCAAACAAGTTTCAAAAACAAATTTTTGGAGAACTTATTTTCAACTTTTTGTTGCAAAATGTGATTTACAAATTCCCATCGCATAGTGTATGGAAAAAGTAATTAAACTGATTATTCTCTATACATGCAGATGTAGGACCAATACATTAGGACCAATAAGTTTAAAAAGCACTGCTTCATCTGCATCTTATTTCTGGGCCCACTACAGATGGTACCTTATTGCAATTCAACCCTAATCCATTGCTGAACTAGGGCTGAATTGAAAGACAATCAAATTGCAAGAAACATTGCAAAATTAGGAAATATAACCACAAAAATTCAAAAAAGTGTCCAAAGCAGGTCAAATTCCAGGGCAGAGGTTGAATTGCAGGTCAACCCCCGTGCATATTTGATCATGAAATCGTGGGATGGTCGTTAACACCCTCCAACGTTCCATGGTGGGCTTATATGGAATGAAACTTGGAACTAATTAGTTTGGATAGATTCAACTTATGGAGACCTTCAGGATCAAAAAAGTTCAGCAGTAGACTTAAGGGAGTCTAAAAAACTGTATTGAAAATATCTTCAACTCTATCTCAAAGGCTTTCCCTCTCAAATGCCTCTGTAGCTCAAATGTTCTGTGGCTTTTTAGGTATTATTTCCTTGACACGGGGAACAGAAAAGCACAAAAATGCACAAAAAAGTAACGAAGGGGAACAGAAAAGCAATAAAAAAGGAAACAATGTGTTCTGAAATGAAGTGAAAGACTAATTGAGCAGAATGAACCCTTATCCAAGTTCCATTCATATCCTGTCAACTCATTTAAGAAGCAATTTAAGGCCCTCAATATCATCAAGCATTTAAGTAACTATACCCAAACTTAATCTATCTTTCCCACAACCAAAATGTTTGTTTTCCTACCAATTCAAAACCTCCTGCCTAACTCAATTTTTTCTTTTCTGCTCAGCGATGTATACGAGCTACTACGATATATGTGAGACCGCATTCAACTTTTAGGTGGGCTAATTGTCGTGCGTCGTTTCTTGTGTTGTGTCATTGATTCATTCATAGTAATTCATTACGGAGACTGGACCAACAGCGGGTAACGTCTGTCACTAGGAGTTGAAGCTTCACTGCCGCTCGCGTCTAAGCTAGAGTTCAGGGCTGAGTATTGCTGAAAACGCGACGGAAGCATGTTTTGGTTTATTATCCACGCGGGTTCCGCGGCAACGGCAAACTTGCTTTCCAACCGTGAGTCATCGACATGGAGATAAAAGCTCAACGCGGCATCAGACATTCTAGGCTACACAGAGCCTATATGAAGAATACAGTACAGTAATAAGAAAACGGTCATGGAATATGCGGTACACTCGTGACTCCACGCGGTATAAATAGCCTATGCCAAAATCGAAATTCGGACGTACGAAAAGAAAGCGAGACAGGAACTTCCTGGGAATGCGGACGCGAGAATAAATGGACTCTATAATAAGTCGTCAAGCGTCTTTTCAGTCTTTCCAGCAGCAAAGAAATGAACGCTTATTGATCAGGGAGAAAATCGAGAGCCTATATCCATCAGCAGCATGTAATCTGCAATAACTATACGGTAAATTTGGACTGCACANATTTGATCATGAAATCGTGGGATGGTCGAATTGTGGGAGGTTGCAAGGTACCACCCGAATATACCTTACTTTGAACCTTGATTAATCAAACCTATCTAAGTTGAATACCTCTGGAAGTCCTAGTTTTTTCAAGTCGTCATCTGAATTCCCTCAGAAAAAAGCTGTATTGAAAATATCTTCAACTCTATCTCAAAGGCTTTTCCTCTCAAATGCCTCTGTAGCTCAAATGTTCTGTGGCTTTTTAGGTATTATTTCCTTGACACGGGGAACAGAAAAGCACAAAAATGCACAAAAAAGTAACGAAGGGGAACAGAAAAGCAATAAAAAAGGAAACAATGTGTTCTGAAATGAAGTGAAAGACTAATTGAGCAGAATGAACCCTTATCCAAGTTCCATTCATATCCTGTCAACTCATTTAAGAAGCAATTTAAGGCCCTCAATATCATCAAGCATTTAAGTAACTATACCCAAACTTAATCTATCTTTCCCACAACCAAAATGTTTGTTTTCCTACCAATTCAAAACCTCCTGCCTAACTCAATTTTTTCTTTTCTGCTCAGCGATGTATACGAGCTACTACGATATAACACTCTGGCGTAAGTTGAAAATCCACCCGATTAACAGCACGCAGCAAAGAACACAACACAGTAACTAAGTAAGTATCATTAAGTAATGCCTCTGACCTGGTTGTCGCCCATTGCAGACAGTGATCCGGTTGAAGCTTCGCTGCCGCTCGCGTCTAAGCTGGAGTTCAGGGCTGAGTATTGCTGAAAACGCGACGGAAGCATGTTTTGCTTTATTATCCACGCGGGTTCCGCGGCAACGGCAAACTTGCTTTCCAACCGTGAGTCATCGACATGGAGATAAAAGCTCAACGCGGCATCAGACATTCTAGGCTGCACAGAGCCTATGAAGAATAATACAGTAATAAGAAAACGGTCATGGAATATGCGGTACACTGGTGACTCCACGCGATATAAATAGCCTATGCCAAAATCGAAATTCGGACGTACGAAAAGAAAGCGAGACAGGGACTTCCTGGGAATGCGGACGCGAGAATAAATGGACTCTATAATAAGTCGTCAAGCGTCTTTTCAGTCTTTCCAGCAGCAAAGAAATGAACGCTTATTGATCAGGGAGAAAATCGAGAGCCTATATCCATCAGCAGCATGTAATCTGCAATAACTATACGGTAAATTTGGACTGCACAAACTTGAAACAATTCTTAACTTATTAAGAAATCAAGATACTGTATACCGGAACGTAGAATGATGTTTAAAAAAAAAATTTAATACCTGTACGTGGATTTATTGGTCGAAAATAACGAAAGTAAGTCTCATTTCAGTGGAGCGGATGGCAGTTCTTATTTTAAAATGATTTTCGGACTTCATTACACAATTACATATGTTCTCTATTAGAGCTTATTAATTTGAAAGATAGAATAGCTGCGACGAACATCGTTGGATATTACATATCCCCATATCATCTCATCGAATTCAAAACATTCAATCAGAGCATTTTAATTCATGAGGAATTCTCGGACGTGTAAAATGATTCATTCTCCGTACTTAGTACAGCCCATATGGCACATGCACTCACGTCATACATAAAGCGGCCATCAGTAGCAAATTTTACCCCATCAGCTGCACAATCTATAACGTTCTAATTATTCACTGAACCATACAGTACTTTCAGCGGCACCACGTTTTGGTATGGATTTACTAGCTTCGTAGATCGTATAACCGCGAATAACGACTCTAACCAACGCTGTGACGTAGACTTCAGGGGAATGCACCCATCAGCACTATATGCAAGCGGACAAGCATTTGGAGCCGTGGAGGCACGCCAAGACGGTACCGACAAGAAATAGCACGCATGGCACACGGGAGTGTTCGCACAAGTTCAAGGGCACCAACTCGAGCGGTGTCTATATAATAGCAAAAGGTTGTCAACCTCAGTAAATCGCGAAGGTCTTTCATCACTATAGTGTATGACACGATCAGGGTATATACGAGTATACATCAGCGTCGCACTTCTTCATACGCTGTGAATAAAAACGTATGCTGTAAAAGTGTACGTGGGTTGCATACGAGTATAACGCGATCGTAACAAGTCCATATCGTATATACAGTTCACGTACTCAGCAGATACTAAATCAACTATAAATATCGCGACCGTCGCTTTTAATACTCGATGTATGATTGACAGGTTATTTCACAGCTATCTAAAAAAAAAAAAAGAACAGCAGTCCTTCGACGAACAATACAGCATATACACATTAGCTCTCGTAAGTGAAGCACCTATATACTCTGGTTTTCAGCAGCGGGGTAAATGCAATAATAAGATTATTTTACAGGATCCCACGCAATGTCGGAAATTCAGAAAACATTAACATTCGGGCCATTTGTTTAACCAGCAGTTTCCCAATTTTTGCTAAATCATTTTCATTCTTTTCGAACATAATCGGACATCATAACTGCTGGATGGTGCGCCACTGCGGATATAGTTGTATTACACATTAATTCAGACCGTATATACACGCAATATAGTTCTACAGTATAGCCATCTGCAGCAGTCCTTTAATAAAAACGATTTTACTGTAATTATCTACAGATAATGCAATACATGTGTGAATCAGGAGAAAAAAGGGTTCTCGGATGGTGAACTTCCTCGGTTTTTATAGATTCGCAGAACTTGATGGGTCGTTTTACCAACTCGAGCGGTGTCTATATAATAGCAAAAGGTTGTCAACCTCAGTAAATCGCGAAGGTCTTTCATCACTATAGTGTATGACACGATCAGGGTATATACGAGTATACATCAGCGTCGCACTTCTGCTTTATACGCTGTGAATAAAAACGTATGCTGTAAAAGTGTACGTGGGTTGCATACGAGTATAACACGATCGTAACAAGTCCATATCGTATATAAAGTTCCCGTACTCAGCAGATACTAAATCAACTAAATATCGCGACCGTCGCTTGTAATACTAGATGTATGATTGAGAGGTTATTTCACAGCTATCTAAAAAAAAAAAGAAAAAGAACAGCAGTCCTTCGACGAACAACACATAAACATGAAGTGAAGCACCTATATACTCTGGTTTTCAGCAGCGGGGTAAATAATGCAATAATAAGATTATTTTACAGGATCCCACGCAATGTCGGAAATTCAGGAAACATTAACATTCGGGGCATTTGTTTAACCAGCAGTTTCCCAATTTTTGCTCAATCATTTTCATTCTTTTCGAACATAATCGGACATCATAACTGCTGGATGGTGCGCCACTGCGGACATAGTTGTATTACACATTAATTCAGACCGTATATACACGCAATATAGTTCTACAGTATAGCCATCTGCAGCAGTCCTTGAATAAAAACGATTTTACTGTAATTATCTACAGATAATGCAATACATGTGTGAATCAGGAGAAAAAAGGGTTCTCGGATGGTGAACTTCCTCGGTTTTTATAGATTCGCAGAACTTGATGGGTCGTTTTACAGTTGTGGCGAAGGGGTTGGAGGTGTAGTGAGAGGCACTCCCCGCGTGATGACCTAGAGTAACCCTATAATAGATTTCAGGCGTGACATACCCTTCCGGCCTGTGACCTCATCCTTCATTTTTCTCTCCTCGCTCGCAGTTAAAACCGGATGTCAAAGCAGGGGTAATAAAAACGGGTTTATGGCGCGTGAGTAGGTTCTTTAATTATTGCAGTTTGCTGCCATTGACCGCATCGCAGCCGAGGAAAATCATCCATGATTTTATTAGGATCAGGGAAACTATTGCTCTTGGATCTGTGAGCTTAAACAGAAGTGCATGATCGCAATACAGTATAAGATTGCGAGGGATATACGGTACTTTTTTTTACAGCCGTAGAATAGGCGGTGAGAGCAAGTTATTCTCCTTGTAAAAGATTGCCTCCTCCCCAGTTTATTATTGTCAGCCAAAAAACTAGCAATATCCTCTTCAAACAGAGGGGATTTTCAAGATAAAGCAGCAGTTTTGCCCACCTCACAGTCTACACCTACACAGTATTTCGCTGTAGGAGTGACTTATTCGAGCTGCGATAGAAATAAATATACGACGAGAAATGGGTTCACTGTCAAGTGAAGTATCCAGACTGAGGTTTCAACCTGTCAATCATACACCAATCTCCGTTCGTATATGCTGTCCCAACGGCGATTTATTTTTTGGAAGAATTTCGACTGAAGACCAAATAAGTTGACGTTACAGCACTATTTATTCAAAAACTTAAGGGTGGTCCTTTTTTCCCTACAATCCCATTCCTTGCCATCGAGGAAAAAAAAAAATCAAGATATAAAATAGTTCTTCAACGCTCTCCCCTGGCCCATGAGAAAATTCCGTAAAAGAAAATATTCTCCCGTAAAAAAATCTCGGGGGTTACTAAACCGCAAGCTAAATATAAACAGAATATGTCAAAGAAAAACAATCTAAAAAGTTCATACATTTCTGGTGGCAAATCAACAAAAGATCATCACTGGTCCAACAGACTCATCTTGAGTGTTGGTGGGAAATGCTGCTAACAAATATCTTTCCTGAAAACAAGTAGAGGGGAAAATTACATTCGATTAAACATAAATGTACTCATTTCCAACTTCGGAAATGCATGACAAAGCATCGTCAATACCACAAAAAGTTTAAATTTACAATTGATATGGACAAAACTATAGGTGGTCAGCGCGAAAAAATGCAAGCTCCGCCCTTTATTCAATGGTATTTCGAGGGGCATATTGTTTCCAATTTGAATCATATGCTAATTTTTCATCACTTATGGCATTCATTTTAATTCGCAACGCATACATTTATGCAATTAGGTAAATTTTACCTCGCAGGATTTAAGTATCCCGCGAAATTATCATACCAACGGGACTTCTGAACACCAGAATTTCCTCCAGAACATTTTCCACTGAAGGTCCCAGATCCGCCTGTACCTTACATCTTATACCAGCAATAAAAACACATGCACGTGACGATGAAAAACAAAATCTTTCCGCTTGAGCTGAACAGATCTTCAAGTACCGAATTTTCCGTGAAATGTTCTTCAGCGCGGAAACCAGACAACCCCGCTACAAACGCCAGAACTCAACTTACTGCTTGTTGATACGCTGAAATTCCAGAGCGTAAGTGGATGAAAATGTCGTTACTTGACAGACTGCCAAAAATTCCACTACATCTTCCTTCACAAGAATCTGAATACTTATCTCATTTCGAGAAAGTTCTCATCCGGCTTATGTCGACCACTGCGGCACACGAAGAGATCAGAGAAGATCATCAAGGTTCAAGCCACATCACCAGTTCGCACTTCCCGATACATATCGGGGCACCCCCATGGATAATTCACGGCTCAGCTTTCAAAAACCAATGTCAATGCCACAAACTCTCTTCCCCCAATTCCGCGAGTATAGAATCCAGTATTAAATAAATAACTACTATATTCATGGTTCAGGAAACAATTTCCATCCGCTATATTCACACACGCGATAAAATTTCTCCATTTCGTTTTCACCGTGTCTTCGCGGATACGAACAACCGCTTCATCTGACTATATCAGTTACCCAACATCCAAAACACAACAAAACGGAGTTCCGAGATGCACGCTCACACTTCTGGGCTCTGAGCCACACTCTCTCTATCTCTCTCTCCACATTATAAAATTAGACTTTTTTTTTTGCGTCTGGCGGGCGCATCAGGAAAGGTACGCACGAACACGAGGGGAAGTGAACGAGGAATATTAGCGTTTAAAATAGAGCTTTGAGCAATGTCGTGGCTCACGAGCAAAGTCTCATACGCACATGCGGTGGGAGAAGCACCAGCAGGGACTACATAGACGAGTCTCTCCAGTCTTGTTCCCGGGACATCCACCGCGACGCGCAGTTTCCTCCCCATGTCCCATCTCAACTTGAAACTGTACGTGATTCGCGCTTAGGAATGATAATTATAATTTTTCTTTCTTTCGGAGACCAAAAAACACGCATTTTGAAGTTTTATTCGGGAATATTAAAGCCAAAACACCGAAGTTTTACAAGTTCAGCAATCTCATTCACGTCCCTCGTGCAGAAGGTAAGCCTGGTCTGAAGGAATTCTCGTTACAGCTTTGGCACGTCTGCATTAGATGCTCAACCTCGTCATTAAGCAATTACGGGCCGCACCTCGATTTTATGCAGTAATGAAACTGTACTGGCCTTGAGAGGGGAAAAAACCCAGCATATTTTGGAGACAAATTACGCCAGCACAACAGCGAAGCCTGCCCATTTCACCGGAAGAATTTCAGTAGAATGCAAATACAGTACTGTATTATATGATCTCGAATTTATACAGCAAATTCGAGACTTAACCGTGGCCTATACTACATTATCTCAAGAGTACTCACGCAAAAGCACTTGGGCGCCTTTTCGGAAATCAAGCGCGGCCTATAATTGCGGAAGTTCGGTATTCACGTCAGAGATTCAAATTATGTACCGCGGGTTAAAAACAATGAAACTACAGTGTTTTAAAAATAGGTATTAAAAATATCTCTTTCAAAATTGACACAAAATGGTTTTCAACTACGCAGAAAAATATAAAATTTTCTTTAACGTTGCGAAATTCATCGTTGATTCATTCAGCAAGCAAGCAAGAAACGTGATCGCAGCCACACTGAACTCTTCATTAAAACAAAATATATGCCTGAATAAGCAAACAATTTGAACAATGCCTGAATAAAAAAAAAGTTAGATCAACTTCCCATACTTTTTTGCATTCTAGAAACACTATATCTTCGTGCGCGTCTTATTTAAGAAGATTCGTTCGAATGCACGCGACAGGAATCACATAAACGAAGATTTGGTTAGATGGAGTAGCGAGCAACGGGAACTTCACAGTAAAATGATCCATGGAATTCCAAGAGGAAAAAAAAATGCAAACAGAAACTAGAACACCAAAACATGAGTCGGTGGACTCCACAATACCTCGCCTCCCATTTCCCACACGGAAATAATTTCACACGAAACTTATACTCGGGAGCGGATTTCCCGCTCCGCCACTCCGCTCAAATGCGTGCGTCTGATTCAGACGATCCGATCTCCGGACGGTTCTCGGTCGTGGTGGAGCAATGTAGTCCAATGCATCCATGGCCTCACGTCGGAGCGGTGGCGGTGGTGGTGGAGGACGCAAGAAAGCTGGAGCCCGGAATACTTTTGGTTTCGGAGGCAGTGGCGGCGGGGTGAGCTGACTACTCAGTCTCGAAGTCGGCTTTGAACTGCCTGCATTTTTGCCAACGGATTCGTTTCGAGAGTTTAAATAGCTTTGGTCGTCAGTGCAGAATGGGTAGAAGTCCACGTCAGAGGGGTCTGAACATAAACGGGAAAGCGCGCTCGCATCTTTCCGCGGATCGTACTTGGTCTCAAACGAAGACGATGGATCACCGTAAATTGACGACGAGCTGGCACTTATTTCAATCCTGCATGCGAGAAGAAATATAGAATAATTGTGCAAAAATGGAAAAGTATCGGAAATGAATAAAAAACAGGAAATAGCAGGTAAAATTCGAACCTTGAAGTTTTAAAGGCGCCTTTTGTCGATGCCCTCATGAAATCCTTTTCGTCCACTTTCACAATTCGGCTCTTGGTCTCATTTTCCTTGTCCTGTTCGAATAAAAAAGAAGATTGAATTCATGAGTAACTGAACAGAGCTCGGCTGAGAAAATCCAATTTCCTCTTCCAGTTTTCGCAGAATAATTATGACACTCGAGACGGTGATACAGTAAGTGATCGAGAATAATGAAAATAATGGACACAAGCTCACATTTTCATGTCATTCAGAAATACTGCACACAAATCCTTTGACAATTTCCACTTCGAAGCTTGTCACTTTTTTTGTTTTTTTACGTCGGTAGCTGTTAACCGAATCAATAAATCTGACCAAATCCACAACTGAATTGTTCAAGAGTCTCCAGTTTCAATGTCAGGCACTTCCCAAACGATTCCACCAAGTTTAAGTCAAAATTACTGGAATGACGGACAAACTTCAGTTAGTCAAGATTCTGGATATCAGGAGTGATCAAATATACGTAATTGTAGCTTGGCAGATCAATGCAGGTGGAATGACAAGTGTCTATTTTTCGTCCAGCATCATTCTTCGCAATGACGGATTGTTGGGGGAATATTTCAACTTCGACAGGGCATCAACTGTGCATCGATAAAAAAATTCCTAACGCATCTAGTTTATTGGAAAGATCATGTGTTCAGCGGCAATAGGAAATTTTGGTTTTTAAGGATCTGAACCCGCTACATGCTTTCATTCGACGGACTCGACAGCTGAATTTATTCCGTACTCGGAAAATAATCCGTACAAAATATACACAGAAAATTCTATTCCTGACGAACGCCATGCTGCTTCCAGTTTGCGTACATTTAGATCACGAAGATTCACGCGTAGTCACTGTACAAAACTTTGAAATTGATTTTCCCGAAACATCACCGTATTTCCTCTAGCACCACACGCCCTTGAATAACAAGCACATCAGGGGTTTTCGGTAAATTTTTTTTTATAAAACTGTATTCCCGTGTAAGACGCGCACCCCATTTTTCATCAGCTATAGAACTGAAATATTTCAAAGATGAACACCCAAATTTGAATTTTAGACACGAATCGAACCTAAATTAAACTCATTTTTAATAGTAATATTTACCATTAAAATAAGTTTTTCTGTTAAACTTGGAAAAACATTTCCCATTAGAATCAAGTATAATGCACAACTAAACTCTAAAAACTTTTTGAAAAATTTAAACCCGCCCATCAAGCGGACCCCCCTTTTCCCCTCATGGCTTTGAGAAAAAGGTGCGCGTGGTACTCGCGTAAATACCGTGATGTTTCAGGAAATCCGAAATCAAAGTTTGCTTTGGTCTACCAGTACAAGGTCGGAAAACTTGTTTAAAGAAAAAACTCACGTCAGTCACTCCAGATCCACCGCTGGAGCCCATGAGGAAGTCAGGAATTTCACAATTGAGTTTCAACCCGCGCTGATCGTCCAGCCGAAGTTTGTCCGCGCGTTTCAGCTCGGCATACAGTTCCTCGCGGCTTGGACTCGGCTGATCCCCGACACCATCGTCAAGGAACAAACGTGGCGGAGCCAACACGGCGTCTGGGTCAGATGCAGCGACCGAAAGGCCTTTCTCACTGAAGTCCCTATCCACGTGGATGGAGTTTCTTCGCAGCAGGCTGCCGACGATTCCTGACGATTGACTAGAACTGTCGTCCGTCTGTGTGCAGAACGATTGAAAAAAATCAGAACACTGGCAACACGAATCACGCGCGAATTGATCCACGAAAAAATTAAGGATGAAGAAAAACTGATTTACTGCAACAATAAAAACTACTCACGGGGACTTTATCGGCATCGGTAACGCTTTTGCTTCGCATGAGATCTAAAAACACTCGATTAGTAATCTCGTCGAGTTTTTTGGCACCGAGCAATCCTTTGCCAGTCAGCGTGTTATCTGAAAGAAAGCCATCATTATACATTAGGAAACATTTTCAAATCATATCAGCATCGTTGACGTACAGTATATTTTCGATGCAGAACAGTGTAAAAAATCGGAAAAGCCGAACCAATTCAAAATAATTACGTCAAGAGTGTTCGAAATTCCGGAATCTAACTTCGAATATTTACGATTTCACAATTGACGTTGCATTCATCTAGTATCTTCGAATGGTAGCTGACCATTTGCTAACGTAATATGTCATTTAAAAAAAACTCACGCAAGGCTGACTTTACTGAGAATTCGAATCATGCTGAGGAAGAGAAACTTTTCTTGAAATGAAAATTATGCTGGATTTACAAACAAATAAGAATTGATATAATGGAGGATTTACAGCAGTCGATATGAGAGGGTAAACGTCCTGAATTAGCTCTGCGCGGGAATCTAAAGACCAATCGAAACATAAATTGACCGGGTTTCGGAGACGCCTTACTTTGATGAATTTGCATTACATGTACCTCAAATTGTTATTAAATTGTCTTACTTGACGGCCCTTCCTTGAACTTCAGCACAACAGTTTCGTTGTCAAGGTTAGTGGCGAGGGTTTTCATGCTGAGACTGGTTTCGTCCGACCCTCGGTGGGCGGTGAAATGGTCCACTTTAAGAGCAGGGTATGCGTATCGTGAGGAAGTCTTCCCATGCTGCTGTTGCCACCTTTGCAACTCCTGATTATGTGAATTCAACACCGGTCGCAAAACCTCACACAGTTTTCTTCCCGGGCCAGCTTTCACCGGCACTGACTTATCCCACGGTAAGACGAAATTGATCAGCACTCTTCGCTCCACACGCACTTCATGGCACGATAGAACCAAACTATCCTTGGATTGGTCAATTGGCTGCAAAGTTCATTTCATTTCGGTTTGAAAACGTTCCTTTCGGGAAGAGAAAAATAGACGCGAAACTCACCACACCCGAATTAATTGTATACACGTCAGTTGCTGAATAACTGAGACCCTTCTTCCCTAGAAGTCTGAACACTAGGGCATGAATTGTTTCTCCTGGCATCAACGGCACGACTGTGGTCGATTGATCCGGCAGAATCATTCTACACAGAGGACCGTTGTAGTTTTCTTTCCCCGCACTGGACACCGACATACACGAAACATTTGCCAAAGCTTCCTTTTCGCTCGGCAAACTCTGCGAAGGAAAAATGAATCCATACAAGCGAACTAAAAATCTTCTGCCAGAGAACCGCTTTGACGATAATTCAATGCCTACTGGGTTCAAAACGATGAAATCTTGCATAAAGTTGCACCAACAAAACGGTTTAAATTTCACGAAGAAATTTTAATGCAACAGAAATTATTTAAAAACTGGTAAACGCAGCGAAAACATGTTGCTCCTATCTGAAACGATTTTCGCTGTGTAACGATTTTTTGTTGTTGGTCCCATTAGGTTCTCTACCAATCTTACAGGGGCTCTCTAAAACGACTTGGTTTCTGATCCCCTCAATTTCTTTAAATTCCTAAATTCCAACTGTATTTGCAAAACGTATTCTAGGATAACTTCTACACACGCTAGAGAACTTTTAGCCATGAAAAAACAGAACGTTAGAATTAAATTATTTATCAATCATTCGAACGAAAAAAAGAAGAATCCGGGCGAGCAAAACGCACCCAGAAAACTGTACGAAACTGACGAAGAATCTATGAAAAAGTGTTCACTTGGAAAACTCATTAGATTCAACATTGAATCGAGTCAGTAGTAACGCAGTGCAAGCCGACCACGGTCATATCTTGATGCAAGTCTCACCTCCTGAGATGTTGAAAAGTTCCGTGACATCAAAGCCAAGTCAGAACTAGCTAAACTAAGTCGTGATCCATTGGATTGGACGGAACCGTCTCGAATAGACGTCGAATTAGGCAACATGGTTTTGGGCTGACCGGACGATTCGCTAGCTTCTGACGTTTTTTGATCCTTCGGTCTCAACCTTCTGTGAATATTGAAAAAACGTTTGTCATCATCCAAAGCAAGAAAGAGAAATCCCACATCAATACACTAATAAAAAAAAGCAAAATAATATTCAAGCGAAAATACTGGGGAACCTCACTCGTAGCATCCATGCAGTCACTGACGCAATTTGATGCACAGTACAGTACTGTACTTCCTAAGCAATGGAATATTTTATTTTATTTTTTACGATTTCTGACATTTAGTCAATTTCAGGCTGAATTGAAAAGGTAGTAGCCATTATTGATAAAATTCTGGGCAATGAAATTTATCTTGCAGTAGAACAAAATCATCTCCATTTTCGATCATATGCGATTTTTTGTCGTTTGGATGGAATAACTCGGTTACGCGTCCGGATAATCGAGGATTCACTGCATATATGGAGAACATGATCAACGCACCGACACGTTTTCGGACAAAGCTGGCCAAACTGAAGCTCAACACACGACCAGCAACAGCAAAAACCAACTCAAATAATCAACAGCATGAAAAAAAAACATGATACGAAAACTGGTGAGCATTTACTCACAAGCCTACGAATTTCGATACACGAGACTTACCGGTAATCGCGGGGGGCGATTTTCTCGGTGCGAGCAAAGAGAACAAGAAAGATCTTTTTTAAGGCAAAATATAAGCTGTTCTAACGAATCATTGAGGAGAACACACGCAATTTTGGAACCAAGACCACTCACCGAAGCGATGAAGCCCGGGGTGCCCGAGTTCGTGATCTCGGACGGCTCTCGCGCGATTTCGCTCGTGACCGTTTGCCCCAGCCCAGCAACGACTTCCTCCTGCCGACGTTCTTCTGAATGGTCGACTGCGAAAAATCATCCATCAAGCACGGATTACGGTGGGTATCCTAAAGAGAATCTCGATAATTACACCTTGATCATATCAAGCTCATTTCACCTTCGGACTTGAGGTCGACGGGAATTTACGATTATATACCGTATACTGTATATTCATACTAAAAAAAGGAAACTACATAGTGGTGGATAAGAGTAAAAACCATACCGAACGGAGGAACTCTTGCAATTCTCGGAGCAGGGTGACTAACTTGTTACTTCTTTTGAAAAAAGGAAATAAAGCAGCGCCCTTTCCTTCGTTCGGTTCCGTTCATAATTTATAAACCCTCTGAAGCAGCTACATTTAAAAATAACCAGACTTACACAGTACTGCGCCTCTCAGTTATTAGTTCAAAAAAGCTGGGATTAGCCTCGTTACATCCGAGACCTTTGAAGAGACTCGGGAGGTGAGGATGTCCTTGAAACGCTCGAAAGCTTCCATTTCTTCAGAGTGCACACGTCTTCAGTGCAGACATGACATGCATTCACTCATTACGAATCCATTCATCGCGAAAATTCAATTTTGAATGTGAGGACTTATAAATTATATTTCAAGTAAATCTATTTCCCGAATACTGCACGTTAACCATCTTGATTTTAACAAGGAAACCCAATTTTTAAACGTTAAAAAAATAAATGATAATAATAATTTCATAAGCTGACATTTCACGGCAGTATCATCAACAATTTAGCCACCCATATTGATAATTACCTCGTTCCGACCGTCGGTCGACGGTTCAAGCCTCAAATCCGCCTCAACTTGATCCCCGCCCGGAAACGGAAGCTCACGACCTTCGTTTTCCGCTTTTGCGGCGTCTTTGTACAGCGGTGACTTGAGGAATCTTGCGTACGAGTCGTACTTCATCAAATTGAAGATTTGCTGCTCAGCCTTAAACATCGTAAAAACGAGTGGAAACTTTAATTTTCTAAGCATGTTACAGAACGCACAAAAACAGGAAAAAATATGTTTTGCATGGAGACCGCGCAAATTTTGAAAACATTTCAAACAACTGCTACGCGACGAACGCTGACTACATAACGAAATACGAATCAAATTTGATTGCTTTCAAATGAATCCTGTTCTTCATTTTCACGCGTAACGTCACACTAAAACAAACCTTGGGAAAATTTCACCATCGATGGAAATTTTCTTAAACGTCGATCTTTCAAAAATATCAACGCTTACAATTCGAGCGTTGACTCGACACAGCCGAAGAATTAGAATAGTACAAAATTTTTATTCAGCTTTCCAGATATGGCCACTATAGCAACTACACCCCGAAACTGCTCGGATAAAAGACAAATAAATTGAAATTTCACTCGCACTGAATTCAGCTTTTCACCTTTCATTGCTTTCAAAACATGGTGGTTGAAAAATTGGTCTGTACAGCACAGTACAGTATTTTTCTAGGCAGCGTTGTAGACGGACATCAAGATTACACGGCTATGAAAATTACAGCCCCCTCTCAAAGTCGCATGAAAAAACTGCGGATAGTCTTCCCAAATATCTTCACAAGCTAAAGTCAGTAAAGTTCATTCGGCAGATAGTCATTCGCGAAGAACAATTTTGAGAAACCCAAGGCGTTTCCGTGCAAAGCAGCGTGACGTTTTCCAAACCCTCTATTATTTCTTGCGAAGAACACACTTGGGACAAAATAGGATCGCTTCGACTTTCAATCGTTTAGAAGAAAAGAAGAAAATTATCACCTTTGCGAATATTTTCGCATCAGCTCTCGTAATGTTGTCTTGAACGAATTGCCTGGCCTGACTGTCCACGTTCACCGGTTCCGACGCTGATAGGCTCAAGTGTCGCTCGTAGATCTCTCTGGCAGCAGAAATCCGCTCTTCTTTTTCCTTGTCGGTAATGTTTTCCTCCCCGTCGCTGGTTTCCTTGTCGAACATCAACTTGTACCTTTGCACAGCCACCCAAAAGTAGATGTTCTCGTGGCTGAATTCCTTCTTGAGAAATTCCTGTTGGGACCAGCGTCGGAAATCAACATTAGCGATGAAACTTTCATCGAGCAACACGAGTTTTCAAACTTTTCAGAAGCGTGTACGGAGAATATTCACGAAGGGGTTACTGCGAAAATTCATCAACACCGCAAGGGTTTCTACGATTTCGAAGCAAGAAATTTTCCAGAAAAACACACCGCAAATGTGTGGATTCCAGCTGTGTCTCTCAAAAGTCTTTCGAACGACATCGCCCAGGATTCGACTCGACCAACAGCCACTTCTTCACCCATGGCACCTTTCGATCCATCATTGCCGGTCACGTCCAAACGAGAAGTTCGTCCCATATCCGCAACCATGTCGCTAAGCTGCAAGAACACGAAAAAAAAGAAAGATTAAAATTCTGAAAATCGAGCAACACGAAAAAAGTACAATCGTATCGTTGAATAGAGGAATCGTCCGTGTGAGGTGAGAATTCGTCATTTTTGCTGTCACACCGAAGGCATGGAAATTATTCCGATCTTTCGGCTGACCTCAACACGCACCGCGACTTTTTGATTCAAATGCAAAGTAGCTGGTCTCACAGAAAAGACCACCCGCGAATTTCGACAAAACATTTGCATACCATTTACTTTCTAAAGGGCTCAGGCAATTCAAGTGAGCATCTCACACAAAATATTACAAGCAAAAAAAAAAAAAACTTCACTCGTTGAAAACCAAACCCACCGAATATACTTTCGTCGCTTAATGGAATGCCTTCAATAAATAATGGAGATGCGGTGTACAACACTTATTCCTCAACTTTCAGACCAAGAATTTTGTCCAACCAATCAGACTTAATTTTAACCCAAAACAGAAATCATGTTTCTCGGATTCAGTGGAATTTTCATTTGAAAATTTCGACAGAACGTAATTGGCCACGTTGTGGCCTATAACAGTACAGTACTGAAAATCACGTCAATAGCTCACAGTAGTTAGGACAAGATCATGAAGGAAACGAAATGCAAATGCTTCGTGATAGGCATCAAAATATCGTAAATCGCACGGTTTCTCCAACAATCACGCAGGTTTTCCGGCGTTCACATTCCGGACGAAAGCAGAATTTTGCCTCCCTCCATTACACAAATGACTTTAAATACGTGCACGAAAAAAGATTAACTGAACAAAATGCACGAGATAAACGCACGAAGTAGAAAGCTGCTTCCAAAATGGAACATTTTCTCGATTCGACACTTGAATAAAATACACAACAGGAATCAAGTCGAAAGTCCATCGATGAGGGGGAAGAACCGTGATAACAGTCGGAACGGCAGCTCTGACTTATTTACAAAGAACTGTTTATTGACTGACTAACTCATCCGACGATTGTTCGCTCCCTCGAAATATTTAGAGTGTTATTCAAAAATTATTTCTGGGCCTGAATAAAAAAAAATGCCAATCGTGAAACGCAAGGATGATTCAATCGGTAAATAAATTATTAGCTTTCTTAGGCTCTGCAATCCCAACGCTCAATTACAGTCGTGGCACTTCCACAAAATTCAACACTAATCCCTTTTGTACATGTAAGTTATCCAAATTGTATAAATTCTGCCACAGTACTTAGAAAGTAGCGGACATTCCCATGCACCGAATACATTCTCCCTCCAGAATTTCAAATTTCCTTGAATAAGCAAAAAACAAGAAAAACACAAAAGTTCTTCGGTGCTTTTCAAATTGTTAGAGCTGAAATCAAACGAACGCAATATTTTCATGGTTTGCTAAGACTAATAAAATAGGAGCTAAATCAATCACATGAAGAAAGAATATTAGAGAAAGTACATTTTCGGCGGATAACTGAAGGTTGTATAATGCTATGCCGCTTAACGCACCATCTTTCAAAAATTAATCCTTGGCTAACGAAAATTGAATAACTCTGCATGACTCATCCCATATTCGATTCAAATCCCGCAGAAATTTGATGAAATAATTTCCATTTTTGCAAGGATTTATCAAGGAAAAATGGAGCGAAGAAAATGGCAGCGATGAAAAATCTGCGATTTATTTTCGAAGATTTGATTCACGTTTTCTCATCAGTCATCATCTCGAAATATAAATCACACGATGAATTTAACGTGTTTTGAACGACTGTGAATGGAGTTTTTTTCTTGTGCATTCTGTTGCATCAAAGCATATAAATTATCTGAATTGAAAAAAGAAAGCAGTAACAGACATCTCTCAACATAAGGAAGAACGGTATACAGTATTTTAGGCGGATAACTGAAGGTCGTATAATTCTACGCTGCTTAATGCACCAACTTTCAAAAATTAATTTTCGCATGAGAAAAACTGAATTACTCTACGCGACTCATCCCACCTTCGATTCGACACACAACTGGAAGAAATTTGAAAAAAGAACTCTCCTTTTGCAAGAATTTTTCAAGGAAAGATAGAGCAAAGAAAACCGCAGAGCTGATATATCTGGGCTTTGATTCACGTTCTCTCCGCAGTCATCATCTCGAAATACATAATGAATCACACGACGAATTCAACTTTTTTCGTATGAATATAACTTGAAGCTGTTCTTTTTTATGCGTGTGTCTTATACAGTATTTGCACCAGAGCAAATCAATTATCGAAAAGAAAGCCTAAAATGTAAAATTGTAAAAATTTTCGATTCGTCTTTTTTTTTTTTTTCTTCAATCGACTTGATGCCAGACGACCGAGATTACCAGTCATCCTCGGGATCAAATCGATTCAGAATCAGCGTCACATCCTCGTGATTCTCCACTCACACTCAGAGGACGGCCTTTGCGTTCACTCGACAGAAGCTTTCTCAGGATCAGCTTCTTGAGTCCGCGACGCGTGTACTCCACGGAATAAATGACACCCAGCACTTCATCGTGCCCGCAATTCATTGGCACTCGACAAGCGTCTCTGCGCACTCTCAGCGTCATCCTCGCCGAATTTTACTCCGGAGAAGCGATTCCCTCTCGCAATCATCACTTTTTCCAATCGGATCCTGATTTCCTGACGCGCGGATCGTTCAAGATTTATTTTCTCACTTCATTGTTCAGTACAGTACTGTATAATTCTAATTATCCGGGGACCTGATCAAGCGTGCCCGGAAAAATGTCGATTCATCGAAGGGATACAAGATGGATGACTTACATCTTGGAATTTTTAATAGAACCGCTTTGCTATTTCCATCCGACCCATGAATCACACCGGCCAATACACTGAACATTTCCGAAAATTTTGACAACGGCTTACATATTTCAGGCAATTTTAGATTTCTCTAAAAAAAATTTGCAATATCATCCGATTATACGAGCGAAGTTACTTTTGTCACTAGCCTGAATAATTACAATATACAGTATTTCTAACGCATTAGAACGGGCTTTTCGGAAGTTTTGAAATGCGCATCGGAGCGTGAGTTATTTTCCGAGTTTTGCCGTGTTGATGAAGTACAGTACAGTACAATAATTTTACACGACAAGGCTTTCACAGGAATCGAAGAAGACATACCTATTTAAAATTACAGCATTCAATTTAACTCCAGAGCTGTTCAAAGCCCTCTCGGGTGACATCAATTCAACGTATGAGGCCAATCAATGAAAGCAAAACTGAAATTGGAGCTTCATCAGGTACTAAAGCTTCTGAGTGGTCTTCCAAAACAACTGTGAAATCTATTTCACACCTCGAAACCAACCTACTCTTCATTGGCTAAGGGTGTTCTTCGTTCATTAACTTCTCGCTGTGATATTCTAAGGCACTCTCCATAGTCAAGGGTATTACAACAAAGTTGCCAACAACAAAAAACGAACGATCCTTCATCCGCATTTCGTTTTACGACATATACTCACCGCAACTACAGAGTATTGTTAAGTATGGGAGTTCTGAAGGTTATTGGTGTAAAAACGCAAAAATAAAATACTTCACTCTCCGCAGGAAAATTTCACGGGGTTCTGCGCATGAAGACTAAAAATATCACGTTTCCCACAAGCGAAAAATCACATTTTTCATTCCAAACGTGGAAATGTTTCAAGGTCCGGAGAACATTTCTGACAAGCTAACTGTTAAGGACGGAGACACAGATAAAAAAAAACCCTGGGTTGTAAATGCCTGAAATGAGGAACATGGTCTGAGAAGTGCAGCTTGAAAGAGGTGCGACCTTTCATGGTCAAATTCATGACATTCATCAAGCACCGCATTCATCAAGTTCCAAGAAAAAATTCTTCCACGGAAGACCCGGAACGCTTTCCACACCCACTCATAGCACATGTCACTTGTTCGGAACAAAGAGCTTCCGGTTAGTCAAAATACTCATCGCTTCACAAAAGCACTCAACCCACTCTCACGACAAAGCGTGAAATCTAGTTTTTCTCGCACTTCGCCTGAACTCAAGTGCTTGTTCAATTTTTCATTCAACACTTTTTCGCGAAGATAAGAAATACTGTAGTTGAATCTACTGTGCTTTCTTCGAAAACTTTCGCGACGCTCAATAAGTCGGTTGCGTGTCTTTAAAAAAGAAAACGATAAAATTAAAATCTGCCGTGGCTCAACCATGAACAGCACATTTGGAATAATTACGGTACGATTTGAGAGTAAATCCGTTGTGTAAGCAAAACTAATTCTCAGGAAACGCGCACGCTGTCAATTAATTTTGAACGCCGAAAACGCGTCTTCAGAAATAAGAAGTACAAGAGGAAAAAGTGTTCTTTTTTTCAGCAAAAAAAAAGAAGTACTGTATGACAATAATGCTGCTGTAATATTCATCGAAATAACTGCAGCTTTAATATTGAGTAAACACAATTACAAATCAATAGCTATTTTTAAAAAGCGACCCCAAATCGTTTCAATGGGCGGTTCATCGTTCAGAATCAGATATTCAACTATACTGTAAGCGGGGAAAACCTTAACCATGACCTTCTTCAGGATACTTCATATCTTGCAGGAAACGTTGAATTATCGGGGGGTCACGAAAAAAGAACGGAATTTATTTTTTGAGAAAAATACAGAAATGCTTAAAACCTGAGCAGAGCCTGAATAACCACGCTATCGACGAATCGTGCACTCATTTTGATTCAAGGACAGGATCCAAGTTGGCCATTATAAATACAATTTGAGCCAATCTGATCGACCAGAACGTTGCATAGAAATATCGTGCTAAATTCAAGACATTCAAGCAAGTAACACCGCGACGTTGATGGATTGTAGAAATATTTTTTTTAGTTCAAAAATTGATTACGCGTGACATTTTATCACTTCATTGAAGCGCGAACATGTTGCGTACGCGTGAAGGCCACACCCGCGTTCCCAGCAAACATTTTATGGCAGAAACCTTGAGACGAAAAATTCAGAACATTATTTTTAGGAAAACGACGAATTTACTGAAAAAAATTATCCACTGTCCATATAAAAAGTTAACGAGATACTGTAAATTGAAAAAAAATTATTCAAACTGAAGAAAAGCAGCATTTCATGCGTCTGATGAGAAATGAGCCGGTGTAACTCAAACTTCTGAGTTTCTCCTCCACCAAAATTATTAGCTAGTACTGATTACTAATTAATGATTCATCAAATCTCGTTGCAACGAGCATTGTTATTGAGAATTATTGTTCAGAACGAATTCATTTCTTCACAGTCTCCAGCGTAGCCACGAACATCATTATACAGGTAGACCCTCTCTACAACGACTTTCTGTTCCACGATTTTTTGGTTTCTTGAGGGGTTTTCTACCCATCATATAGGGGTTCTCTGCAACATATTTTCTTTCTGGACAACTCAATTTTGTTGTACAGTACAGAATGAGAGAGTCCATCCTTGCCTTTTTTTTTTTTTTTCAATAACGAAAGATTTTTCCGGGTCACAGGGACTTGTTGTAACGAGATCTCCCTGAACAAGACACTGCGGAGTTCTTCGGGTCATTTTCAATTCCATGCGTTTAAAAAAAGTGCAGCCCACACGAGAGTACTGTATACGGAGAGATACCGTCTACACTCTACACCAATTTTCTCCGAGTAACCAATTTAATTTTATTTTGTTGGCTCATAAGGTTCTCTAACCATTTCATAGGGGTTCTTGGTACTTTCCTGTTATCTCAGTACCTCCTTTTCTGTTATCTCTGTACCTTCCCTCTGACCAATTTAACCTGACCTAACCTTATTTTGGGAGGCGGTTAGGTAAAGTTAGGTTAGGTCAGGTTATGTCAATTAAAAGATATTTATAACCAACATAACCTGACCTAACCTAACTTTACCTAATCGCCTCCCAAAATCAGCTTCAGCAGGATGCGGAAAAATAAAATTCATAGATTTGTCTGGATGGTAGTGCGGTTTAGGAATGAGGTACTGAGATAACAGGAAAGTACCGGGTTCTCTGCAAAGAATTTTCTTCTGGTACAGCACCTTGAATTTCGTTGCAGATGGTACAGTATACAACTATACAGTGTCCATAAAACAGGTACCCAGTCATTTAGACCGGATAATCGAAACTCTAAGGTATGCTACTGTATTTCGAAAGCTGTGCTGTCGAAATACAGTCTTGGTGTTACAGTACTCTAGTATGTTTCGTGTTACTCTAGTAGCGTAACCCAAAAGAAGAACTTCCTGTCGACGGGGAACTGCCGCCACCCGGGCTCCCAATCCATTCCCCACTGTGCAGCGTCTATTCAACTTAACCGCATTCCTCGCACCGCGACAAACGCAAGCAACCCGGCCCAGGTCACGCTTTTTCCCTCCGCATGCACTCGGGCGGGCAATTCGACTCAAAAGCTCTTCTGAAGGAGTTTTCTGTTCCCCCCCTCCTAGACGGCGTCACGAGCTCTGCAGCCGGAGCAACAGCAACAACGAACGCACAAGGTGCGCATTGTTGTGCGGGCTTTTGTTGTGTGCCACAAATCAAAACGGAGAAAAATGAAATATGAACGATGCTTTGAACCAGAATAATGATTTCGTAACTTTTCTCGAGGTTCAAGCGAAAGTTGGACTTTTTAGAACAAGTAAACTCTCATAGGTTAGATTTAGCATCGCACAAAAACCAAGGTCGACAGAACTGTGGATCTCGAAAAAAAAAAATGACTCCTTCAAGAATTCTGGAGAAAGAGAGAATTCTCTTGACAATGCTTCGTCCCACAAATAACGAGGCAAGTAAAGTATAAAAATAAAGATACTGTATTGAAATATAAAATTAAGACAACATTTCAGTACCAATTCTTATAAATATAATCTTTGAAATAAAATCCGCAAATAAAAAAATCGCCAAAAACAATATTTTTTAAAATGAGAAAGGTAAATTTCTTGTTAAAATTTTGCCGCAGACGGGCGTTTTTATCATTTCCGATGTTGAGAATTATACGGTTCGAAGCGCAGTCGATGGGAAAAATCAGAGGGGCTTATCTGAATTACGTGGGAAGGATATTTTTTTTACAAGAGATGTTAGCCGCGATTTCTCCAGCTCTTTTTTTCCCCCCTTTCGAGTGTTGGTCTGTAAAAAGAACCCCGTTTAAATTTCTCGCGCGGATTCCAGCAGAATACAAGTGTATAGATGTCATCGAAATACTATAAAAATAGGAAATTTGTTTTTGAAGAAGATACAAACTAATAATCTCGAATAAAATTGATTTACACTTCCTGAACATTATTGATGAAGTCAAGTTCATTTATCAGAATAATATTCGTCTTGAAATGCTTGCTAAAGGATAGGTGGGGTGGAATGTACAGCATTCTTAGTTGGTGGAAGTGGTAATCTTCCATTCAACAGGCCATTTACCATTTTTTCGTACCCAATAAAGTATTTGAATGAAGGCACAAAACACATTCGATGAAGGACTTGACCAAGTAGCGATTTTCTGTCGCACAGAAAACAGAAAAATCCACGTTTCCATCACTAGGAAGTTCGAAACACAACACAATTCTTCGTGAGAGGTGTTCTACTTCCGTGTGGATTGGTGTTAGGTCGCAGAGGTTTCTGTAACTTTGCCGTCGAATACATTGTGAAGAGATGACGAACTCATCTGCCCAATTTTCTTGTTTTACTGTCGAGTGCTTCTGCTAATATTTCAGGATTCATGTGGCACACACGAAATAAAATCTTCTCGAAATTCTCCAGCACACACGGGTCGATTGCCACCTTCCTTACCAAAACTTTTTCAACCTTTCTTATTATTTCCCCAAATTGTTCGTTGTTCTTTACAAGATTTCATAATGATGACCATAGGAAAAATCGCATTGGAAAACCTTGAAAACTTCCTTACTTTACTTCAGCGAGACTGGGCAAGACGTGAAATGTTCAGATTTTATTTTTCTTTCAAACTACATGCAGTATTGTGTTCCCCTCTGAATAAAATTAGGAAATGTATCATTAAAATCTGAGGGAACAGCGATAGCTTTTTTTTATCTGCAAATTTATTTCGCAAGCCCAGGGCAAGAAAATTGGGTCGAGGCGTCCGAACGAAACGCATTAAACGCCCATTTCATTTCCAACCTGCCATATATCTAAATTCACGGGTATAATCGAAAGCTTTACAAAATTTGTCTACACGAAAATAGAACAAGCATCCGATTGATTTATAAGCGCCAAAAACCCCTGAACAAATTCCCACTCACACGCGCGCACACATACACACAGACATACACAACAGCCGAAACAAACGCACGCGTTCAGATCAACGCGGAAACTGACGGAAACGCGTCCGGCGGGAAGGAAATTCATCGCCCCCTAGGGCCTTCAAAAATGCACGCGCCAAACCCCAGACATCGATCGCAAAGCTCTCCCGCGTCAATAGCCCGGGGTTGAAACAACCTCATCACACGAAATTCACGCCCATGGATTTTTATTACAACCCTCCCGGATGTTATGGTAACCATCCGATGCATACCCTACTCGAGTACAGTACCTTTGCATCCAACATCTCGCGACATATCAGAGAAAATGGGGGTCACAGGGAGAGGGGCGAAAGAGGGCCCGACGACTGCGGAGGGGAAGGGGGGGGGGGGAGAGGTGTATGCAACAGAGTAACCACAAAATTCTACAGTTCTAAATCAACAAAAGACAACAAAAAAAGAAGACTGATTCATCAAAGATTGGCTTCCTGGTCGCCAAGCGCATTCATATTTACTAAAATAACTCAAGCAAATGCTGCTGATGACGAACTAAATTCAATAAGTTGTTCATTTTTCTCTTGAGAGAGACAAACAGCAAATGAAACAAGAAACCCCAGAAAATAAAATGCCAAACGAAACAAAAAACATCAGCAGTCTTTGCTTTCACCGAAAAGCTCTCGGGTTATAATCATCCCGAGTAGAGTCTTCCGTCAGAGAAATAAAAACATCGTACTCCCGCAGCGAGTGCCCCAGGCAAATTTATAAAAGAAAGTTGGGAACTAAAACTAATCATAAAGAAATACGGATACTGAAGAACATGACTTAGACGATCATGCTTTTTTCCCAGGAGATTACAGAGACGGAGGGGGGGGGGGGGTTGAACATTTTGAATTCAGATTAAATCATTTGCAAGACCAACAATACGATTCAAAGTCTCTGTCACAAAATCTGTACCTTGAAATGATTTGTGGAGAACTAGGGGCATCCATTAACACAACCCCTCCAATCACAGCACACATTTCATCAGAGAAGAACCACTGCCTGATGAGCTTCTCAGCTGTTGGTGTGCTTGTCTTTCATTAAGACCATTTCCAGCATGGAAAAACGTCATCTACCATCAAAAACCCCCTTCATAAAGAATTCTCTGTACTTATACAACGAATTTTCCAGCCCCTATTCATTTTGTTGCAGGATAAGCCCACGTGCGTCACCGGAATAAGTGGAGAAAACTGCGTTTCACTTCAAACAGTAAAAGGATCAAGATAAACTGTTGGATTTGTATGATTTCTCATCAAAGATTTTCTCTAATTTGTTCATTCAACTAAACCTCATATAGAAACAAGCCGAAGACCTTGTGCTTTAAATTAATTTTTACATATATTTTGTTACCAATGTCAGGGAGTGAATGGGTGTAGGCATACATGTCGTATGTCCAGTTGTATTTCATGTTGTATTGAATTTTCTTTTATTTTTGTTAGCAATTTGTGCTTTCCTGCTCTGAAGTGATTAATGTCATTGAGTGGATTTGGGTTGGGTGGGAAGGGGGTGCGGTTGTGGAAATCTTGATTGAACCTTGTGAACGCTGAAAAGCGGCAAATAAAGTTTTCTGTTCATTCATTCATTCATTCAGTGTTCAGACCATCAATACTGTAAATTGAAACATTAGTGCACTGCATCTATCGCCAACTAGACTTCCATCAAGTTCATTCCCCTCCCCCGTTTTTCGTGAGGCTCTGTTCTCCGCTTTTGCAGGCACCCAGTAAACCGGGAGCACAATCCACCACCTCCCCACGGTAACAACGGGAGTCGAAAAAACGACACCAGCTGTTGCTGATCTCGCGCACACCACCGTGCGGTGGGCAGAAAGTCGCCCACGCCTGAAAACGAAGGCGACAACCGGTGCGGCTCTATAAACTGTTCGGCCAGGTAGAAGTATCCCGCAGGACAAGTCACATGAAGCGGATGTTACGTCTCATCCTGAGCGGCGAAGAACTCGCGACTTTAGTGATGTCGTTCTGAACGAACACATGTGTAATGATTTCAGTAGACATTAGCACATCGACCCGTGTATTAAGTCTATGCCTTGCTGCGATTAATGAAAAAATAATAATTACTGTGACGGTATCACACAGAAAATACTGCAGTATAATCGGCTCTCCGCGGATATAAAATCGACATTGATGAACCGTCAAAACGAAAGTGGGCTCTTGCGGTGGATTGTCAGAAAGCGGTTCCTGGTGTTTATTATACTGACTTGAGCTTGAAGGAATTCGGTATAAATAAAGTGGAGGGTAAAGAGGAAGATGCGCATTTTACAAATTTCATTTCAAGGCATCGCATTGTTTCCGGCAACACTGGCACTTTGTCATGAGCCACATACCGTATACAGGCTGTAACTCAGTTTAAATGTACAATACACGATTTTAGGTCCTTGACTCGATCCGTGGGTGTAATGTAAAAATATCTTCATCACTCTAAATACATTCTCTTCTGCTTTATATCTTAATACAGTCAATAACTAGCTTCCGCAATTCCTTCCCATAGCGTGGTTCAACTTGATTTATGTACGTTATACAGCAGTCCCCTATATTCAGCAACTCATACCCTCACTTCTTGTTGGTTCAACTCAGATTTTTACCATTTTAAAATGATAGAAAATTACTTTAAAATCTGGCTTTGGCAAATTAACACTCACGCACACGAGTCGAGCAAAATTATAACGGCAAGTCATCTCATACGCGCAACCGATTCTGTGAACAGCCTCAGCAGATGACATACTGCATTCCTGGGAATACAGTACATTTAGAGCACCAAAATCCTCGAACATTCGCACAAAAAATGGGTGAGCAACCAAACTAATTCTGTTGATTCGGGGCTTTCCGGACATAGTTTGAAGGTGGATATTTGGTGCATTATTACGCCCAACTGCCCCCTTGTTACCTCACCTGTCCCGGTGTGGACCAACGATCCTTTTTCGCCCTCCATTATTATCTTCCTCGTCACTCATCTTCCATCCCGGGGCAACTCATCAGTTCTTTTCTAGCTTCTTCGCTGCCCTCATAGGTTCGACAATGTGCATTTGACGCAGCTTCCAAGCCCGTGTAGCGGAACTGTATTTTTCCGAAATTTATTGACAGGTATTGAATTTTCGTGGGCTCTTTTCTTTTAGATACGCAAACTTCGCAGTCATTTTTTTTCTGACTTGAGGTTAACGGATTTTTTAATATCCCAGGGTAACATTCTTGGAATACAGGAAAACCTTGATTATCCGAGACCAGATCAATCGTGACCCGTTATTAAATCCCGAGGCATACAGTATTTGCAAGCTCCGAGTCACTGGATCTCCCACTACGGGATTTAAAATACAGTATGGTACTGTACAGTCATTTTTTATTGCATTCATTTAATACAGTGGTTTTTGGTTGACAGCGTCCGGACATTTTACTGCTCTTCAAAAATTCGAAGTGAGGTTGCCGAATCAACGTTACTCTGACGTAAAATAAAATGCTTTCCTTTTTCGATCAAACGGTATTTTTGACAAAGAGATTTAAAAAAGAGCCATCAGTCAGAAGTCAGAGCAATCAAGGCTTCGTGGATTTCAATAGATACTGTACTTGATATAAACCACAAGATGGCTAATCAGGAAATTATCAAAGACTCTTATCATCTATATCATCAAAATTAACGAGAAAAATCGGAAATTGGGTCGAATTCATCAAACCAGAATCTCGCATTAACTTTTGGTCGTAGCTCTTTTTTAAACAAAAAAATAAACGCAATATGATGGCAGATGCCGAGGGAAGAGAAATCTAGATTTTCTATACAGTGTTCACAAGAATAAAAAACCACAACCAGTTAAGTTCTGTCCAGATGTTCTCATCGAAGCACGAAGACGATGCACACGCGAAAAAAAAAATAAAAATAAAAAATTATCCGCGCGAAGGTACAGTGACAGGGGCTGTAATAGTACCCGAATATTGTATCGATAGCAAAACAAATAACGGTTTTGGGCTTCACCTTCAGAATCTCATTTCAAATGAAGAATTTCATAACCTTCCAAAATTTTCCCATAGCACTCTGAGTGAAAACCTCTTTTCGAAAATAAATAAAAACTAATTCACTCCTACATTATTCAGTCTTAGGGAATATACAGTACTTTCTCCATCGTGACCAGTTGCACTGAGATTACCACACACACACACACACAACCTCGTTCCGAAGAAAAACCAAGAACACGAAGGAAGAATTTAAAGGAAAATACTGCAATGTACACGTGAAAAATTAAATTGTGTAACAAAAGTATGCCGGGAAATGCAAAACGAAGAGTGACTAATAATAACTACAGTAATTTTAACCGAAAGCAAGCCTCAGGACGGTCATTTTTGCTCAGCCAAGTAAAACAATATGGCTTGCACACACATACGCACACCTGGCCTCGTTCAGTCTTCAGTGGTACGTGAAATTGAGGTACGAAATTACGCGTTGATCGTACGCCTGCGCGGCAGCGAACATCGAATCCCCAACTTAAAAAAAATGAGCGCAGAAGGACCAAAAATAAAATAATCACAAGTGGAAAAAATACCGCAGTACTTTCTTGTGCGATTTAAGACGCACGTAGTCCTTGACTCGCTTACTTCATTTACCACAGACTAGATGTCGCTTGAGTATTCGTAACACTTCTTTTTCATATATCCCAGGAAGCGTCAAAGAGGTAAGCCTCGTTGATATCGTCCGAAAATGAACGGGAGCTTTTCATCAAGAGTACATTTGAAAATCAACGCGATACTAATAACACGGATATGGAATCCAACTCAAAACTTCAATTTTTCGGCAATAGAGACACGAATCACAAGAATCTCAAAAGTCAAAGGGTACTGATATTTATTTTCGACGAATTCAAAGACAATAACACGGATATGGAATCCAACTCAAAACTTCAAATTTTCGGCAATAGAAACACGAATCACAAGAATCTCAAAAGTCAAAGGGAACTGATATTTATTTTCGACGAATTCAAAGACTGTACATAGAAGTGAAATTCGAAAACATAGATGGAAGTCAATACTGTATAGAAATTAAGGGACGGAGACTAGAGAGAAAAAGACGAACTCGTATGCTTCGCTTTTTTTTGCTGTTGATCTCAGATTAATGGCGGAGTCCGAAAATAAGTGCATTATTTATCAGATTTCCTTTCCGGATAAATACTGTAGGTTAGCGTAGCGTTCGTCATCGTACTGTATATTCCATTTTAGTTTTGAACTAGTACGTTATTCAAATTGCGTCATTTTGACAGTACAAAGAGGAAAGATGAGGCTTCAAGTTCAAAAGAACCATTTATATTTTGGGCGCTCACAAAATTATCGCCAGACTCGAAAAAACCGTGAGATTGATTCTCCAGTACTGTACTATTCTAGCAGTTCAACTTCAACTCCCATTGGAAATGGACAGGCGAAAACTAATTGATCATAAGCAGACCACATTCCCCTCTAAAATGAACTTTTTCTTCGTTGAAAGACGGCATATGGAGTAACTCAAATCCCGACAACGGCATTCCTAACGTTTCCACGTGCTCGCAACTTTTTATTGAGCTATGTACGTCCCCATCAAACAGCTTCTCACAAGACGCCGCCTTCGCGAAAAAAAAGTTGAATTCCACTAACCAGAGATTAAATTTACCGACATATACATCAGAAGCAAGCAGTGATGACTGAGTAAAAAAGCTTGACGGACAATCCTTCTCTTGGAAAAACTCCATTGGATTCCTCGATAAATCCGAAGCACGGAGAAAAATAGTTTCCAGGGGAAGCACTCAAAAAACTGAATTAAAAGGCGGCGTACACGTATTATTATTTTTTCTTTATGCTCACAAAATGTTAGCCTTCGTGAAAAAAAACCCTATTCCTATCCTTGGCACTACGGAAGAATTTCCAATCAAAAGTTTTCGTTACTGCAGTCCAGAAACTTGGCAAAATGTCGGGATGAAACTACCGACTTTCTCAAGCTATCCGGAGCTCGGACAAGAGCATGTTCCGTCATTAGATCGAAATTTGCTTTCCACTGCGCTCCATGCATCCCGTAAGACAACGCCGGGAAGAGAAAATGCGACGACAGAGAGGGAAACATTGGAACGCTAATAGGAACTACTTCGAGCATTATCCCCGGAATGGGACCGAAAGTTTAATGACAAGAATTCGTGGAGGTTTGGACTCAGCATTTTTTCCGTTTTTTTTTTTCTCGGAAGAAAAACACTTTCCAATGCCGCTCTAACCACAGTATTCTCGGTCAACTAAATAAACTTTTATTATCAGTGAGATCAGAGCAAGATGAAGTAATAAAAATAGCGGAGCGACAGACAATAGCCGGATGTTCCTCGAAAAGCTCCCAAGAAGAAAAAAAAAACCCCCCAAAAGACACGTCGCCGGACACTACTCCGAATTTAGGCAGGTACAATTTAAATTACAGTACTATAGTATAATTATAATTTTAAATACATACAGTATTTGTGTGGAAACCAAAATGTCAGGGTTATTTCTATTGATAGAACCGTACAACACGACAAAACGCCGACTGAAACACACTACCAGTCAATTAATCCATTTCCCGCGGTAAATTCCAGAATCAATAAAATTTCGGCGAGAAAACATTACGGTGGTTTGATAGGTGAAGGCCGTCAAACCCACGCTTTCGCAGTGATAATTTTTAAGATTTAAATGAGTCCCAAATTCACAATTTCTCCCGCAACTCCACTCAACCGCAATTTATCGAACCATCATTCTCACTCCTGCTCAAGCTCGGTTACTTTTAACCTTCAGTACAATACTGTGCATTGGACCGAATTTGAGGCAGGATGAGGAAAACCGTACGATGAACAATAAAAACATTTGCAATTGGTTTTACCTTTTAATTGGTACACTATTATGCCTGCAATCCGAGATTTAAAAAAACTCCCAAAAAAATATCTCCAAGATTTCTCAGGGAGGGCGGGGGGTTCTTGATAATTACATTGAAAAGTTTTTTTTTTGGGGGGGGGGGGGGGGCCCCTCGACATGATTTTTCCTTCCTTCAAATAATGGCCTCTTCCTAATCATTTAAAATTGAATAAATAAAAGGATTCGGTAAAATAAAAGGATTCGGTAAAATAGGGTGGCCAAAACGAAACAAACCTCAATCACGGCAGGTTCGGATCGTTCCACCGGTCTGCCCTCTGTCGTCCGACCCCGAACGTTGCTCTCCGCATCACCGCCACCACCACCAACACGTGTTGTTCCGGGCACCACCAAGCCACCCGCAGCGCCGCCGCCGCCGCTGCTGCTGCTCAAACCCGGAGCCGACACCCCAGACGCAACAGCCTCGCTCCGTCGAGACGCCCTTTGGTGTGTTGGCGGGTGCGGATGAGGATGGCGGGAAGCTGCTAGGTGCGCCGCGTACTCCGCCGGCGGCAAAGGGCGCAAAAAGCCTTGCGAGTCCAGATGCGCCAGGCCGTCGTTCAACGAACCCCACTCTCGGTCGTCGCTGCGTAAACACGACTGGCTGGTGGCATTCTCCGAACTGCCGTCCCGCTGCAGCGACGATTGTTGTTGTCGCTGCTGTTGTTGTTGCTGCTGTTGCTGTTGTTGTGGCTGGCCCGTTCGACGGCGAGAGCTCCGTCGTCGAGCCTCAACCGACGGTTGCACGCCGGAATGACTCGTCTCGCTTTCTTCTGCCTCCTCTCCAGCCTGAAACGATATGGATTGATAATGAATTAGAGTCTCAGTCAATGGTCCGTTCCGCAGAAAATACACCATCCGAAAATTAAATCACCCGAGTAATATGAGGGCTAAATAGATCAACAAAATTGTTTCCATGTAAAAATCAAGTAGAATTCGCGACAAGAACGGAAGTGTGTAGTTGGATGCTTAAATTTATAAAGCAAAGACATTTTCCGGTAATATCACTGCCTTCAGATGATGCAATACTGGAACTTTCATTACCTGCTTTAATAACTGTACCCCGTCTTCCGGTTCATGAAGTGCCAACCATATTCGAAAATCAACCAATTTACTGTACGGAAGCACATTCGAAAGTTACATTGGTTTCTTCACTTCATTTTACCTTCATTAGTTCATTTATCTTCATTCTGACAGACATTGAAGTTACGAAATTCAACAACATCAAAAACAAACAAAAGATTCTGTAGCTTCCAGAATTTCTAAACAAATACTATGCGATAGATTGGTGGATGAGGATACAGTTGAGGGAAGAGATACGTCACAGAACTCGAAGTTCAAAATTATATGAGCGAGAATAAGAAGAAATCTCGATACGACTGACATTGAAAAGCCTATTTTAATGGCGGTGTTTACTATTTTACGTGTATTACACTAATTACAGTACTGAGGAGGACTTGATGTCCTTCTACTCCTCCTGCAGCATGTACATGTACAGTACAATGATTTTTATATCCAAATACAAGGTGTCCTGAAAATGACAGAACTTGCGGCGAAATTAGCAACGAACAAAAAAATGCAGAGCCATTGATTGAGAATCCCTTGAAACAGTTCAACGATGAAATATGCTCGTCTCGATTGTGGTGTTATTCCACGCCCATTTCCCAAGTAACATTTCATTCTCATCATAATTACGCATCTCCCTATTGAATAAACGAGTAACACACAAGATCACGAACGTGATGTATTTTTTAAAAGGATTCATTATTGACTTTAAAAAAGGGGGCCAAGACAGGAGGTTAAAAAATAATTTTCAAATAACAAAATCCTGTATCATCATCGTCAATTCTTCTCTCTTCTCCTCTCCCCACACCACCCAACACGATTCTCACAATCATTAGTCGCGGCCGACAAGAAGGCAACGTGACCAGATCATCAACCCGCACCGCCCATCGCCACGTACAGCGGCCAAGAAGGCATTGTTTGTCAAAGAGGAACAAAAAAAAAGGGGGGGGGAGACGCTCCAACATGGCACAAAGAAAATGCTTACAGTCCTCTTAGGACGGAAATATAAATCATATCACGTGGGAGCGGGAATTTTCCTCGGTCTGGCAGTCGAATGTATGGTACTTCCGACGGTACTTGTGGGCGGAATTCGACTAATGGAAGCCTCGAAACGTGCCAGGACGCATGAAAGGAGAGCGAATCGATCAACAGGGATAGACGGCGGAAAAGCTATACATTCGCAGGAGTAATACAATTGACTACCAGGAAAAAATAAAATAAAGGAGGGCAGAAATAAAATAATAACGAGATTGATTCATACGCTCGGTCGAGAGATTCATTCGTTGAAGTCTTTTCTAATGAATGAGAAGATGCGTAATTTCTAGAAAGAAAGAAAAAAAGGTTGTTTAAATATTCAAACAACCAGGTTGAAACTTAGAGAATGAAAACTTGAGGTGCTCCACATCCCTTGAAGCAAACGGTTCGCCAGCTAGAAAAAGTTCTTAAAATTTTGGAAAAATATTTCTCTTGCTGATGTTCCCGATCTGATAACTAGGTTTTAATGAAAAGCAAAAGCCTTCTGATCTTACTCAAGATTGTTTCAAAAATATCAGCAAATTAGCAAGAATTTGCACAACTTGATTAGAAGAATTAAAATAAATCTAAAGAGACCCCTAAACAAATGAATAGTTTGCTCAACTTGATGTTGTTCATTCCATCGCGGGTTGAAGATTCCAACTTGGAAATTTTAGTGCCTGCAGAACTTTACTGCAAGTCCATGTACTGACCAAAATTAAAAATACCTCCAACCAGGAAAGAAACCTTCCTACGCAAATAAACTTCTGAAGAATAACTGAGAATGAACATTGTTTGAATTTCTCGTCACATAGGTCAAGAAATTAAATCCGACCCACAATCCCCGTTAGTTAGAGACAAAATTGCGATGAAAATGTTGCTGCGCTTCTAGAATGTCACAATACATCACATTTCTTGGAAAACCTCCATCCTTCCGAGCTTTACAAGGATTTTGATTTATGCAAACGAATGAAAAATTTGCGGTAAAATAATGACACGCAAGAAGCTGACTGAAACAAAGATGAATGTGCCGTGAAATTACGCTAAGGAGGCACGAGTCGAACTCAAGAGGAGCATTTCTCACATGAAACCCGGAAAAACATCACGAGAAATTCAGCTTATTTATTTCGAACCCCACCCAAACGTTCAAAAATCTTGAAGCGTCATCGCACACGAAAAAACTCATCAAGAATTATTCAGCCCCGGAGTGACTCGACAAATTTTTGGAACACTTCAACTATTCCTTCGCCTTCCAAACCGCGATGTTGAATATTCATAATATTCATGTTCAACGTGTGTGGCATAGGACGCAGGCTCCCCTCGGTGAAATACGCAGTTTAGCAGAACATAGCGTGACAGTAACACGCGTAAGGTACCTTATCGTACCAGATCGAAAACTGCCATCCATCATTGAAATTGACAGCTGCTGCAGTGAAAATCGTGCGGCTTCTCACAATAATCTATTCGGCACAGTCGAGTCCGTGCCATTAATGTAAAGATAAATGAACGCAGGAAGGAATAACAATAGGAAGGCGGTCTCCAGGTGAGGAAAATTGCTTCCAGGAGTCCAGGACACACTCGAATTTTTACTACGAACTTAGAAATTCTGAGAGAATTTTTCAACAGGAAAGTAATTCACATTAGCACTTCACAATGAACCACCGGCATTGGTTCGAGTTTCTACCATACGACATTCTTATGCGGGCATCTGGTTTACATTAACCCCAATCGAAAATTTAATCGCTTGTCACTCGGTCAGAAGGCAAATCAGCGAGACATATTTTGACGGTATTTCCAAATCAATTATTTACCGATTAGTGCAGAGGTCCTACGAAATCGCAAATTACCTTCTTTTCAAAGAACTGTATACAGCATCATTTTTTCAAAAGGCATAAATTTCAGGTTTTAAAAGGTAGGAATACATTTGAAAGACAAATGAACAAGGACAACTATGTTTATACGTTCTTGTCTTCAATTTATAAAAATGTAACAGCTGTACACGCTTGTTAAAAAAAATACACTGCACAGAACAGTACAATACTGTATAAGTTATGCGGCTCTCACGGTGATCAAGACTACAGCAACGTTTCGCGAAACTTCGTGACCCAAGTTGACAGCACTCAGATGCATCCCCAAGTCAACAAACGCTTCTTTAAAGAATACGAAGATAAGTTTTTTAAAAATTAGAAAGGAAGTTCTCTCCGTAACGTTGGCAAAATCCGATAACATGAAATTGATGCACAGTATTTTACTTTACAGTAACTTTTGGGAACCTCGTTCAATCCAGAAACAGATACAAAACGCGAACACATAAAATTACATAATGGTGGGGAAAAGTCGCTCAAGATTATTTTATATTCAAAAGATGATATGGTTTTGTTTTCCAAGAAGGCATGTACGTTGAACGTCACAACCTTCGAGCTGAACAAATATTCATTAAAATCGCTAATGACTTGAAATAAAGTAACTACGAATCTCTCCACGAGGATGATGATTCGCTTTGAACTCACACGATCTCAATCCAGATACAAATGAAGATTAAAACTGAATTAAACAAATCCTTTCCACCTTCACCATTTCAAAGGTACAAGGGTTGGAATACTTGTTTATTCTAGAATAGTTGAGTAGACCAAGATGTTACTCAAAGGATGAAAACAATCAACAGCCGTTAAATTCTCAAGAATCACACGTCATGAAAGTGCGTCTTTGATTTTTCACGCGTTACGATTTTAATTCTCGAGCCAGAAAAAAAAGACAAACGTAGAACATGATGGCGTAAAATATGAATTCTTACAATATGAATTTTCGAAATGACAATCTCTTTCACATTCAGCGTTCGAAAAGTGTCTATGTACAGTACTGTACATCATAATCCGTTCAAGCGAATTTCTGTCGAGCCATCACGGGAACAAAAGAATAAGATCCTTCGAAACATAGAAAGTATACGAGAGGTGAATCCTCAGTGCGAACATACAATTTTCCGAGTATTGACACGTCCAAAATCACTCGTAAATGGCTGCATGAGTCCGAAGAACACGATCTTGCTTGCCACACACACGCAACGCGAGAATCAAGACGTGTTGAAACAGAAATGGAAATGATATTCCATCCAGGGTGATCGATGACGGGGTTTAAACATTTTAAGGATGGAACGGAAGAGAAGAAAAGACATTAAAATGAAAATTTTTAAAATAAAAGAATGAGCGGAAGAAAAATCCCTGGCGCGTGACGTGGTGTCTGCCCAGCACGTTGTCAAGTTGTTCCATGTTAAAATTGTAACGTTGTGATGGATCACCGACCGAGGCTCTTACGCGGTTGAAATGAATCTTTCCCATTTAATTTTCACGAACTAGCGTACGCTGATTTCAATTTGAAGAAAAGTTTTTTTTCTTTTTCCATTCCACGGGATACGACTCCAACGCAAGTATGAAACAGCTTCACTGTAAGTTTGTGGTTCATCCAATTCCCAAAAAATAATGAATCGTTCAATGACGGCCTTCTCACTTGCCGCAATCGATCAAAACAATTCTTGTGGTTCGGATTTCAATGTCACCGAGAAAGTACAGAGTACGTGTCACATTTTCGTAAAACTATTATGTACTGTACTGATATTCGATAAAGTAGACCTAGCACACTTTTCACACCTTTTTAAAAATGCAAGCCCTCATTATTAGGGGCAAATTAATACTTGAACATTTTCCCAGATGAATAACAATTGTAATTAAAGACATGACTGATTAGTACCATACGCTTTGCTTTGAAAAAAGAGGAACGAATAA